CCGGGGTGGGGGGCGGGAGGAAGGAAAAAGGAGAGCTGAGTAGGGAAGAGAGGGCAGCGGGACGGTGTGGGGGAAAGGCCCTCTTCTTGGCCCCGTTTGACCTCGAGACCAGGCAACTTAGCCACAAACAATTTGATTTGAAGAGGGAAGGGGAAAGCTGGCAACGTAAAAAGTGGATTTGGGGCGGCCCATATGGCGCTGTAAATCGCGACTGCGTTTTAAGTTAGCTGTCGAATTCTGCTATGAAATCGTCCAGCAGAGTTCATTTCCCCCAGGGAAAAACCCGTAGGCGAGAAGCCTATCCATCAGCAAGATTATAAAAGCAAAAAACCTGGGACTTCAAGTTCAGAGCTCACTCTGCAAACGGTGTTAAAAATCAGAGAGGACCTAATGATTTCCGTTTGGAGGCGCGGGCCCAGCGCACCTCCCCAGCCACGTAGCACTAAACTGCTTTCAAAAGTCTACAAGATCTCTCTCTCTCTCTCTCTCTCTCTCTCTCTCTCTCTCTCTCCTGGGAAGGAGAAGAGCAGCCTGGCTGAGGCGAAGTGGGGGAGAGAGAGAAGTCGGCGTCCTATTTGTTAAATAAAAGACATATTTCGTTCTGAAATTCAAAAGATAAGTAATCCAGACAGGAGCGCAAGGTCTTCTCCTTACGCAACTCTTCCTACATCCTCCCCCTTGTCCACCCCTCACCCCCTCCCAATTGTAAATGTTGAAAAAAAAAAAAAAAAGAAGCTTCCCTACGACGATCTACTCTGGAAAAATCAAAGCATTATCTATTATTTAACACGTATCTGTGTCCGAGGAAAAATGAGGAAGGCGCTGCATGATTAGGACCTAAGGGGCAACCCAGCAAACTGAGAGCGTAATGATGCCCCTAAATGAAGGGGGAAATGTGCCGCGGAGCGCTCTATTAATCAGACTGTCAATTTCACCCCCGAGGCCAAACCCCCGGGCGAGCAGAACCGGCTCTGAACGGGCAAAGGACCGGAGCCTTCCTCCTCACTTCTTGTCTTTTCAAGCCTCCTACCTGGATCTATTTGTCTGCTCCGAAGCTGCCTTCATTACCCACTGACAGGAGCGTGTATTTATTTGCTTATAAACCTGTTACAATAAATGATTATTCGAACGGCGTCATTCGTACCTTAATGACGAGCGAGCGCTACTTTTTGATGAATGACATCTTGGGCTCGGAAGGATGTATGGGTCATTTTGACCAGTCATTCCCTCGCTCTGGCATTCCACAATTTTTCTGCCTCCCTCCAAAAGAGATAATAATATCTAGAGGCGCTCGCTGGGGCTGAATGAGAATTAGCCCTAGGCGCAGCCCATCATTAGGACGGGACAGCCGGACCACTGTGACATTTTTCAGAAAGCTGAGATGATGGAAAGAATAAGAAAAGAGATGATTCTGATGGAGAGAGGGCTGCACAGCCCCACGGCCGGCAAGAGGTTCTCCAATTTGTCCGACTCGGCTGGCAATGCTGTACTCGAGGCCCTGGAAAATTCGCAGCACCCGGCTCGCCTTAGCCCGCGCCTGCCGTCCGCCCCCCTGCACAGCTCTCTGGGAGATCTCCCTGCCAAGGGCAAATTCGAAATAGACACTTTGTTCAACCTGCAGCACCCGGGCAGCGAAAGCACCGTCTCCTCCGAAATCGCCTCGGCCGCGGAGGGCCGCAAAAAGCCGGGCCATTATTCCGAGGCGGCCGCCGAGGCGGACATGAGCAGCGACGTGGAGGTGGGCTGCTCCGCTCTGCGCTCCCCCGGCGGCCTCGGCGCCGCGCCGCTTAAGGAAAACAATGGCAAAGGTAACCGCGCCGCGCTCTCCAGTCCCATCCTCCCTGTTCCTCCGGGGCTGCTGCCTGCCCTTCCCCGTGACTTTGCCCCTTTGCTCCCCCCCGCAGCAAGCGGCAGCTCGCCCGCTCTAGCAGGGGCGGGACGCCTGCGGGAGACCGTGCCCTCGGGCTCTGATCATTGAGTGTCGCCAAGAGGCGCAGGCCTGAGGCTCCAGGCCCGCCTGACGGCCTGCCCCGGCTCCCGAGCCAAGCCGGAGAAAACGTTCCTGCGCCCGGCTCTAAAGCCGGTGCGCGCCGACCCACCCCTAGCCAGCCGCGAGTCCGCTAGGCTAGGGAAGAGTGCACTGAGCGGCTGCTCTGGTCTCCTCTGCTCTGAGCTCCCAAGGCCCAGTGGAGGGGGCATTCTGAGTAAGTCGGGGGGAGCCTCGCCGGGCGCCTTTGGGAGACCCGCTTGGGTCAGCGGGAGAAAAAGAGTGGAAAAGTAAGATCCACCCCCTCATGGTTCCGGTTTGAGCGGCTGCTGGCTTTCAAATCTTAAAATTTTAAACAAACGCCAAAAACCGTCCAAGAAGGGTTAGAGGCCGCACAGAAAGCTGCCCGGTGGTCCCCAGACCATGGCCAACCCAGAGCTTCCCAAACTGCGCCTGGATGTGGGCATTTTCCCTTGGCCAATTTTCCCAGAGTTGAAAATTTCCAATTATTATATTTTTTTTAAAATCACCCTAATTGAGTTCTTATTATTTGGTTATGAAGTGCTCCCCAAACTTTATTGATTCCATTAACGGCAGCAATTTGTAAGCATGACAGACCCCATCAATTCAGGCAGCGCCTCGCCCGGCTCTCGCGGCTTCCCCCAGCCGCGCCCAGCCCCAGCGAGGGGATCGTGGCCCTACAGTGACTCATGCGCTGTCGGCCGTTCGTTTGCCAGGGTACGCGGAGAGCGGATCCGCCGGGGGCACCACGACGTCCTCGTCGGGCTCCGGCCTCGGCAGCGTTCACCCGCGAACAGATCGCGCGCCTGGAGAAGGAGTTCTACCGGGAGAACTACGTGTCACGGCCCCGCCGGTGCGAGCTGGCCGCTGCGCTTAACCTGCCCGAAACCACCATCAAGGTACGGATCCCAGCACGCGCCTGGCTCTGGCCTCCCGGGGGTGTCTGGGTGGATGTTTGTGTCTCCTTTCTGGGGGGCTAGATTTAGCTGGGCCTGAAAACCCGCGAGGGAGAGTCACCAAAGGAATCGGCATGTTTATTTCCCAAATCCGAAGGGTTGGTGGGCCTGGCTGACCTGGGAAGGGCCTGAATGGCGGAGCCGAGGCCGCAGACGTTCGCCCGTTCGCCCGGGTCCCGGTGCCCATGGCCATGACTCCACTTCCCCTGTGGCGGCGGAGCAGGCTGGGCTTTGTTCCTCTGGTAGGAACCAGACGTGGAACTTTTCATTTGCTTCTGATCTCGGACATTCATTTCCCATAGAAATCGTTACAACACAGAGAAAATGATACTGTATTTTAAAAACCGATTGGGTTTTAAAAAAAGTATTTCTAAGTATTTTTTCCCCCGGGGCAACAGGAAAGGACAACCCCCTGGAGAGACAACGCAATGAACTTGTCCTTATTTACACATTTTAGGTGACTAGTTTTATTATACGACCGAGAGCGAGATAGACGGGAGGTTGGGCGACTTGGTGAATACTTCACGGAGGATCCGACTCTCTGGAAAAAGGAAACGGGAAACTCCACGGGGCAGGCAAGGGGTGTGGAGATCTCCCTTCGGTTTCCTCCGACTTTCTTTAAGTTAGGGGATGATGTCTTCATTAGAAACCGGGTTTCGAGGGCATAGAAAAGTCCCCTTCCCAGTTTAAGAGGAAGTTATTCCCACCACTCATTGGAGGCAAATGCTCCCAACAAAATCATCCCTTCAACATCAAAATCGAACCAGTGACCCCACGGGCAGGCTCCGGTAGCTCAGAGGACTCGGCACCGGGAGCGGCGGCCTTTTCCCCAAGCTGCAGCCGCCGCCTCCCTGCCCGGGCGGTGCACATGCTGGGGCTGAGCGCCAGGCGCCGGCGAGCGGTGGGGCGGAGTGGGAGGGTGGCGTTGGGACGAGAAAACGGAGCAGAAAGTCAGGGAGCAGAAGCCCGAGGGGCTGCAGCAGTCGGACCCAGCGTAGGAGAGTCTTTTTGTAGAGGAGGGTGTGCCCCGCCGTCCACTGGGCCACCCGCTCGGTCCCAGCGGGGAGGGCAGGGGACTGGGCGCTGGGTCGGGTCAGAGGGGAACAGGCCAGGTCTTTCGGAGGCCCCGAGGGGCGGGGAGGCCCGGGGCGCGGGCGCGGGCGCGGGCGGGGCGCTTCCTAACGCGGGCCGCCCTGCGGCTCTCCCTGCAGGTGTGGTTCCAGAATCGCCGGGCAAAGTGGCGAAAAGTGGAGAAACTGAATGGGAAGAAGGACAAGGACAGTCCTGCAGGTCCAGCCCCTGCCAGCGGCCAGGACAGGTGAGTTCCTCCTCCTGCTGGGTCCTC